TATGATTTGGGGAAGAAAAAATGGCGCTTATATACTTACCTTATCCTGGAGTGCTATTTGAGTATTGAAAATGTGATTAATTTAAAATTCTATCTAGGGAAAAGTCTGTTAAAAATGATGGTAACCATATAAGGGGGAAAATTTTAGGAGGGGGGGGAAAAAGGTTGTGGGGTTGAACCGTGAAATAATAATTATGTCCTGTTACCATTGACTGCCATGTCCATGCCTACCATTATGGGGATGCTCAAGATGCAGTTAAGTCCAGCTACAATTCATGCTCCGGGTCGGGGCCTCAAACGGCCATAGCTGAGTCCAAGCATCCCCCCAAAAATTAAAAATACCAAATGTATGACACCACAGTTATGTGTGAGCATGGGCTGATTAGTCATTAGTCCATCGAGATGTCTTATTTAAGAGGAATGAGTGGGCGATTTTAGGTGAGATGGCCCTGAAAGAAAGAACCAGATGTCTGATAAAATTCATTAAATAGCTACCCCCACGATGTATGGGCCCGGAGCGAGAAGAGGGATCCCTGCCAAGCGGGTTGCTGGTTTCACGCGGCATGGTAGTTAAGCTCGTGATCTAGGGGACGGGATACGCATGTTGGCGAGAAAGGATTTGACTTAATGTGCTATGTACGATCAATAACATTATGTGCTATGTACTGTAAATAATGTCAAGTACTTGCTTATAAGCATGGGGCATATAATTTAATGTACTATTATACATAATATGTCTTAATACATTAATTTTATGTACTATAACCGTACAGGACCATATATGTACGTTTATAAAATATTTATGTAGTTAATGATATTTAAGATATAATATGGCTATTGAGTGCAGAACTGTATTAAATTCTTGAAGGTTTTTAGAAATTACAATACTGACAAGGCTCTTGAATTTTGTGGAGCTATATTAATATACGCCAGGGAATAGTTTAATTAGAACTTCAGCTTTGGGTGTTGATAGTGGGGCTATAGCTTCTTCCTTGAGTCTTAGGGAGATTGGTTATTCTCCTTTTCTGGTTTACAAGACCAGTGTATTAAGTGTACTACAAAGACTTATCCTCATTTTAGGAGATTATTTTCGATTATACTGGTAATTGGTATAAGTACTAGAATAATGAAGAAGTATAGAATTGATGCTAATTGTCCAATCGTAATAAAGGGATGTTCAACTGGTTGTCCTCCAATTCATGTGAGTGTTAGTAGATCTGCTACTAAAATTCAGAATAGGCATTGACTGAATGGTCGGAATATTATGCTACGCTGTTTGGATGTATGAAGTAAAGGTATAAGAATTAAGATTAGGATAGATGAGACTAGAGCTAGGACTCCTCCTAGTTTATTTGGAATTGATCGTAGGATTGCGTATGCGAATAGAAAGTATCATTCAGGTTTAATATGAGGAGGAGTGTTGAGTGGGTTTGCTGGGGTGTAGTTGTCTGGGTCTCCTAGTAAGTCTGGTGCAAATAATACTAGTAGTATAAGGAAGAGAATTAGGAGTAGGATGCCTAGAATGTCTTTGATAGTATAATAGGGATGGAATGGAATTTTATCTGAGTCTGATGGAATTCCTGTTGGATTGTTAGACCCTGTTTCGTGAAGGAAAAGCAAATGGACTATAGCGAGTGCTGCGATAATAAATGGAAGAATAAAGTGGAAAGCAAAAAATCGGGTTAGGGTTGCTTTATCTACAGAAAATCCTCCTCAAATTCATTCGACTAGATTTGTACCAATATATGGAATTGCTGAGAGGAGATTTGTGATAACTGTTGCTCCTCAGAATGATATTTGTCCTCATGGTAGGACATATCCTACAAATGCTGTAGCTATTACTGTAAATAAGAGGATCACTCCAATATTTCATGTTTCTAGGAAGGTATATGATCCGTAGTATAGGCCTCGTCCTACATGTATAAATAAGCAGATGAAAAATATTGATGCTCCGTTGGCATGTATGTATCGGATGATTCAGCCATAATTGACGTCTCGACAGATGTGAGTAACAGAGGAGAATGCTGTTATTGTATCGGATGTATAATGTATTGCTAGAAATAGACCGGTAAGGATTTGTAGAATTAAGCAGATTCCTAGTAGAGAGCCAAAATTTCATCATGATGAGATGTTTGATGGGGCTGGGAGGTCAATAAATGCGTTGTTTACAATTTTTATTAATGGGTGGGTTTTTCGGATGTTGGTCATTGATGTTCTTGTAGTTGAATGACAACGATGGTTTTTCATATCATTAGTCATGGTTAAATTCCATGCGAGAATAATGATAACATACATTGTATTTATTTTAAGTATTATTTTTGTGCTTGGTTTTGTAGGATTTTCTTCAAAACCTTCGCCTATTTATGGGGGATTAGGTTTAATTGTGAGTGGTGGGGTTGGTTGTGGAATTGTATTAAATTTTGGTGGGTCTTTCTTAGGTTTAATAGTTTTTTTAATTTATTTAGGAGGAATAATAGTGGTTTTTGGTTATACAACGGCTATGGCTACAGAACAGTATCCTGAGATTTGAGTGTCTAATAAAACTGTTTTAGGAGCATTTATAACTGGCTTGCTAATGGAAGTTGTGATGGTTTGTTATGTGTTGAAAGATAAAGAAGTAGAAGTTGTATTTCAGTTTAATGGTCTTGGGGATTGGGTAATTTATGATACAGGGGATTCTGGTTTTTTTAGTGAGGAAGCTATGGGGATTGCAGCTTTATACAGTTATGGGACTTGGTTGGTTGTTGTAACTGGTTTGTCTTTGTTTATTGGTGTAGTAGTTATTATGGAAATTACTCGTGGAAATTAAGTAGAATAGTGCTAACAATAATTGTAATTAAGAAAGAGAGGAAATATAGTTTGATTAATCCTTTTTGATTTGTGATTATAATTGATATTTTTGTTTGTATAAGTGAAGTTGTTTTTGGTAAAATATTTTCGAGTCAGATTAAGTCTAGAAGGGAGGAGGCTGATTTTTGACTTATTGTTAAGTTTATATAAGGAGTTAGGCGGTGTATAATTATGGGAAAATATCCTAATATATTGGAAAATTTGAAGATATTTGATGGATAGTTGAATTTTAGATTTTTAGTTATATTACTGATTTCTAGTGCTAGAATAAAACCTAAAATTGTTACTGCTAAGGCTGTTATTTTTAGGTGGTGAGGTATTGTTATTTGAGGAATTGTTATTGGAGGGATATTATTAGAAATAATAAATCCTGCGAATAGACTTCCGATTATAAGGCGTTTGATGGAGTTCATTAGAAAAGGATTATTTTCGTTAATGGGTGTTAAGGTTAGGAATCGAGGTTGTCCTAGAAGTGCAAAAAAGATGATGCGAGTGCTATAAATAGCTGTGAAGGAGGTGGCAATTAATGTTATTAAGAGGGCTCAGGCGTTGGTATATGACGTGTTAGCGGCTTCGATGATTAAGTCTTTAGAGTAGAATCCGGTAAGGAAAGGTATTCCAGTTAGTGCTAGACTGCCAATGATTAGGGCTGTTGTGGTGAATGGTATGGCTTTAAATAGGCCTCCTATTTTTCGGATGTCTTGTTCGTCATTTAGACTATGAATAATAGAACCGGAGCATATAAATAGTATGGCTTTAAAAAAAGCGTGGGTGCAAATGTGGAGAAATGCTAAGTAAGGCTGGTTAATGCCAATTGTTACTATTATAAGGCCTAATTGGCTGGATGTAGAGAAAGCGACAATTTTTTTGATGTCGTTTTGGGTGAGAGCACATGTTGCTGTAAATAGTGTAGTAATAGCTCCTAGGCATAATAAAATAGATTGTGCAAATTTGTTATTTTCTGTTAGCGGGTGGAAGCGAATTAGTAGGAAAATACCTGCTACTACTATTGTGCTTGAATGGAGTAATGCTGAAACAGGAGTAGGGCCTTCTATTGCAGATGGTAGTCATGGGTGTAGGCCGAATTGGGCAGATTTTCCGGTTGCGGCTAGTGCGAGGCCTATTAGGGGTATATTAGATTCGTTTGGATTTAGTATAAAGATTTGTTGAAAATCTCAGGCGTTAAGGTTAACTAGGAATCATGCTATTGCTAGGATAAAGCCGATATCGCCAATGCGATTATATAAAATTGCTTGTAGAGCAGCTGTGTTTGCATCTGCTCGCCCATATCATCATCCGATTAGTAGAAATGATATGATTCCTACGCCTTCTCATCCGATAAACAATTGAAATAGGTTATTTGCTGTAACGAGAATAAGCATAGTAATAAGGAATAGAAGGAGATATTTAAAAAATTGATTAATGTTAGGGTCTGAGTGCATGTATCATATGGAAAATTCTATAATAGACCATGTGACAAATAATGCTACTGGGACGAATATTATTGAGAAATAGTCTATTTTAAAGCTTAGTGATAGTTTAACTGTTTGGATTGTAAGTCAGTGTCAGTTTGAAATAATTATTTCTTGGCCTGTGTGAATAAATATTATTGTGGGAATTATACTGGTGATAAAGGCACATGAGATAGTTGTTTTTACGTGTAATGGATAGTTATAGGTTTTGTAGTTATCGGAGCTCGTGGTTATAATAGGAATAGTTAATAGAATTAGGGTAATTAGTGTAAAGGAAGAGAATAGGTTTATTACTTTTATTTGGAGTTGCACCAATTTTTTGGTTCCTAAGACCAATGGATTACTACTATCCTTTAAAAGTTCGAAAAAGCCATGTTGTTATACATGGGAGCATAGAATTAGCAGTTCTTGCATGCTTTTTCGGCAAATAAGGAGATACAAGCTCCTATAATCAGATTCACAGTCTAATGTTTTTTTTTAAACTATATTTACAGTACAAAGGTCCTAGAATAATTTTTGGGTTTAGTGATAGTAGTAGTAGGGGTAGTATGTGTAATGATATGAGAGCATTTTCTCGTGTAAAGGAGGGTAAAATGTTGTTAATATGATGAGTATACTTACCTCGTTGGGTTGTGATTAGTATGTAAAGGGAATATAGGGCAGTAATTACTATATTTAGTCCTATTAGAATAATTGTGATATTGGATCATGAGAATGTGGATATGACTACAAATAGTTCTCCAATTAGGTTAATTGTTGGAGGGAGAGCCAAGTTTGTTAGGCTTGCTAGGAGTCATCAGGTAGCTATTAGTGGAAGAAAGGTTTGTAGGCCTCGGGCTAGGATCATTGTTCGGCTATGAACTCGTTCATAGTTAGAGTTTGCTAAGCAAAAGAGTATAGATGAGGTTAGGCCATGAGCGATTATTAGGGCTGTAGCCCCTATATAACTTCAAGGTGTCTGAATAAGAATAGCTACAATAACAAGTGCTATATGACTAACAGAGGAGTATGCAATTAGTGACTTAAGATCTGTTTGACGAAGGCAAATTGAGCTAGTTATAATTATGCCTCATAATGATAATATAATGAAAGGATATGCTATAAACTCGGTAAGTGGATTTAGAAATATTGTGACTCGTAATATACCATATCCTCCTAGTTTCAGTAAGATTGCTGCAAGGACTATAGAGCCTGCAATGGGAGCTTCTACGTGAGCTTTGGGTAGTCAGAGGTGAAGGCCATATAATGGTATTGCTACTATAAAGGCTATTATACATGCTAGCCATATAAAAACGTTTGATCAAGAGTTTGGTAAGGGTTGCACTCAGTATTGGAGAATTAAGAAGTTTAGGGATCCAGTAATGTTTTGGAAATAGACTAGTGCAACTAGTAGTGGAAGGGAGCCTACTAGTGTATAAAATAAAAAGTAGAGACCTGCATTTAGGCGTTCTGTTTGATTTCCTCATCGGGTAATAATAATAAGGGTTGGGACTAGTGTTGCTTCAAATAAAATATAAAAAAAAATTAATTCTATGGCAGTGAAGGTCATAATTAGGCATAGTTGCAGTAGAATTAATATAGTAATATACAGTTTTTTCCGAGTTAAGCTTTCTTTTGATAAATGATGTTGGCTAGCTATTAATATTAAGGGGAGAAGCCATATGGTTAAGATTAGTAGTGGTGTTGATAGAGAATCAGAGAAAAATACTAAGGAGAAGTTTAGGCTATTGTCGATAAATTGATTTATAAGAAGAAGACTTGTGAGGCTAATTAGTAGACTGTGGGTTGTGGAGTTAATTCAGATTAGGTTGCCTTTTGATAATCAGGTCAGAGGCATAAGTATTATTGTGGGAATAATATATTTTAGCATTGAAGTAAATTTAGATTTTGAACATAATCAGTGCCGTATGTATTTGATACTATTACTAGTAATGATAACCCTAGTGCTGCTTCGCAAGCTGCAAAGACTAGTAAGATAATAGGCATCATGCTAGCTAGGGTAAAGTGTGAGTTTAAAATTGTTAGAGTAGCTATTACGAATAAAGATAGCATTATTCCTTCTAGGCATAAGAGTGAGGACATTAGGTGAGATCGGTATATTAATAGTCCTGCTAGGGATACTATGAATGCTGTTATAATGTTTATATATACTAGAGACACTTGGTAGTTGTGAGTTTAATCACAGTCTAATGAGTCGAAATCATTTATTTTATTTTTAAACTAAATACCATATTCAGTTCACTCTAGTCCTTTTTGGGTTCATTCATAAGCTAGACTTGCAGCTAGTAATAAAATTAAGAAAAGGGCTATGGTGAGTATAGTATATAAATTATTTGTTTGACAGGCTCATGGCAGTGGTAAGAGGAGTGCAATTTCTAGGTCGAAGAGAAGAAATGTGATGGCTACTAAGAAAAATTTTATGGAAAAAGGCAGGCGAGCTGATCCTATAGGGTCAAACCCGCATTCGTAAGGGCTTGTTTTTTCTGAATAGACGTTTAGTTGAGGAAGTCAGAATGCAATAATAACAAGTAGAGAGGCTAATGTAAAGTTGGTTAGAAGGGCTAGTATTAAGTTTATTATTCTTTTTCGGGTTGTACCGAAGCTAACTGATTGGAAGTCAGTTGTACTTATTAATACTAAAAGAATATGAACCTCATCAGTAGATAGATACGTAAAGGAATAGTCATACTACATCTACGAAATGTCAGTATCAGGCGGCAGCTTCAAAGCCAAAATGATGACTGGAAGTGAAGTGATATTTTAATTGACGGAAAAAGCAGACGATCAGGAAAGTGGACCCAATAATAACATGTAAGCCGTGGAAACCTGTAGCTACGAAGAAGGTTGAACCATAGACTCCGTCTGAGATGGTAAAGGGTGCTTCATAATATTCTGAGGCTTGTAAAAGTGTAAAATAGACACCTAGTGCGATAGTAATAAATAGGGCTTGTAATATAGGATTACGGTTTCCTTCTATAAGGCTATGGTGGGCTCAAGTGATAGAGACTCCTGAGGCCAGTAAGACGGAGGTATTAAGTAGTGGGACTTCAAGGGGATTGAGTGGATGAATGCCTGTTGGGGGTCAACAACCACCTAGTTCGGGGGTTGGGGCAAGGCTTGAGTGGTAAAATGCTCAAAAGAATCCAGTGAAAAATAAGACTTCGGAGATAATAAAAAGGATTATTCCGTAGCGGAGGCCTTTTTGGACGGTTGGAGTGTGATGTCCTTGGAAGGTGCTTTCTCGGATGATATCTCGTCATCATTGGTATATAGTAAGCATATTTGTTGTTAAGCCAAGTATAAGTAAGATGGTTGAGTTGAAGTGAAATCATATAATTAAACCAGAAGTTATTAGAAGGGCTGATAGAGCTCCTGTTAGGGGTCAGGGGCTTGGATTTACTATATGGTAGGCATGAGTTTGGTGTGTCATTATGTGTTGTCATGCACGTAGAGGCTAACTAGAAGGGTAAATACATATGCCTGAATCATAGCTACTGCGAATTCAAGGACTGTGAGTAGAATTAGGATAATAAATGTGATAAGGGCTATTGTAGTGCTAATACTTATTAATGCAAGTGTAGCTCCTCCGATTAGATGAATTAGTAGATGTCCTGCGGTAATATTAGCTGTTAATCGTACAGCTAGGGCGACTGGTTGAATAAAAAGACTAATGGTCTCGATAATAACTAGCATGGGAATTAATGGAGCGGGTGTTCCTTGTGGAAGGAAGTGGGCTAGTGATGCTTTAGTTTTATTGCGGAAGCCCGTAACTACAGTTCCTGCTCATAAGGGGATGGCTATACCTAAGTTTATTGATAGTTGGGTGGTTGGTGTAAATGAGTGAGGTAATAGGCCTAGAAGATTTGTTGATCCAATAAATATAATTAGTGATATTAATATTAATGTCCATGTTTGTCCTTTGGCGTTATGAATCCCTATTATTTGTTTTGATACGAGTTGAAGTGCTCATTGTTGAAGAGAAATGAGACGGTTATTTACTAGACGATTTGATGTTGGAAACAGTAGGCTAGGAAATATAACGATTAGGGTAGCAAGTGGAAGGCCTAGAATTACTGGGGTAATAAAAGAGGCAAATAGATTTTCGTTCATTTTGTTTCTCAAGGGGTGTTTTGTTTTTGTGTTTCAATTGATGTTAGTTCTGGATTAAAGAAAAAATTGTGTTTTGAAACTTTTAATTGGAAAATGATGAATAGGGTTAGGAATATTGATATAATTATTATAAATCATGTGGATGTGTCTAGTTGCGGCATACCATTAAGGAGAGTATTGTGCTCTCAGTCTCTAGCTTAAAAGGCTAGTGCTATTTAGCTTCTTAACGATTTTATAGTATTGACGCAGATCATTTTTCAAAATAGTTTAATGGAACTAGTTCAAGGACAATTGGCATAAAGCTATGATTTGATCCGCAGATTTCGGAGCATTGTCCGTAGTACAGACCTGGTCGAGTTGACATTAGAGTTGTTTGATTTAGGCGACCTGGAATTGCGTCTGTTTTTAGACCCAGAGAAGGTACAGCTCAAGAGTGTAATACATCTTCAGAAGATACTAATATTCGGATTGTTATTTCTATAGGTAGAACAACTCGGTTGTCTACTTCTAGTAGTCGTAGTTCTCCTGGTTTTAGTTCTGATGTTGGAATTATATAGGAGTCAAAGCTTAAGTCTTCATAATCTGTGTACTCATAGCTTCAGTATCATTGATGTCCTATAGTTTTTACTGTAAGGGATGGATTGTTAATCTCATCTATTATGTACAAGATTCGCAAAGATGGGAGGGCGATTAAAATTAAAATAATGGCTGGCAGAATAGTTCAAATTGTTTCTACTTCTTGAGCATCTATTGTACTGGTGTGAGTTAGTTTTGTCGTTAGCATCAATGAAATAATATAAAGTACTAGTGAGCTAATTAAAAATACAATTATTAGGGTGTGATCATGAAAATGTAATAGTTCTTCTATAATAGGTGATGTTGCATCTTGGAAACCTAGTTGTATTGGATAAGCCATATGAGGTGTACGGGTTTTTCACCTGTAACTTAACCTTGACAAAGTTATATAATATTTTACTAACACCTCATTAATTGAGAAAGACATAATGGTTATGGCGTTGGCTTGAAACCAGCTATAGGGGGTTCGATTCCTTCCTTTCTTATTTTAAGTTAACGTATGTAGGTTCTTCAAATGTATGATATGGTGGGGGGCACCCATTCAGTCACTCTAAATTTGTTGTTGTTAGCTCTACGGTTGATACTTCTCGCTTAGATGCGAATGCTTCTCAGATGATAAAAATTATTAGTATAACTGCTGTTAGAGAGATAAATGAGCCTATAGAAGAAATTGTATTTCACATTGTATATGCGTCTGGATAGTCAGAATATCGTCGTGGTATACCAGATAATCCTAGGAAATGTTGTGGAAAGAATGTTATGTTTACACCTACAAATATAATTACAAAATGAATTTTAGCTCATGTATCATTAAGGGTATAGCCTGAAAATAGTGGAAATCAGTGAACAAACCCCCCTATAATAGCAAATACAGCTCCTATTGATAAGACATAGTGGAAATGTGCAACCACATAATAAGTGTCGTGGAGAACAATGTCAAGGGAAGAATTAGCAAGAACAATTCCGGTTAGTCCTCCAACTGTAAAAAGGAAAATAAAGCCCAGAGCTCATATTATAGCAGGTGATCATTTGATATTACCTCCGTGAAGTGTTGCTAGTCAGCTAAAGACTTTTACCCCGGTTGGAATTGCAATAATCATGGTAGCTGATGTAAAATAGGCTCGTGTGTCAACGTCCATTCCAACTGTAAATATATGGTGGGCTCATACAATAAATCCTAAAAATCCAATTGATATTATGGCTCAGACTATTCCTATGTACCCAAATGGTTCTTTTTTTCCCGAGTAGTAGGTTACAATGTGGGAGATTATACCAAATCCAGGTAAAATAAGAATATAAACTTCAGGGTGTCCAAAGAATCAGAATAAATGTTGATATAGGATGGGATCCCCGCCTCCTGCTGGGTCGAAGAAAGTTGTATTTAAATTTCGGTCTGTTAGTAGTATTGTAATTCCGGCTGCTAGTACAGGAAGTGAGAGAAGTAATAATACAGCAGTGATTAAGACAGATCATACAAATAAAGGGGTTTGATACTGTGATATAGCAGGAGGTTTTATATTAATAATTGTTGTGATAAAGTTAATTGCCCCTAAAATTGAGGAGACACCTGCTAAGTGTAAAGAGAAAATAGTTAAGTCTACTGAAGCTCCTGCGTGAGCTAGGTTACCAGCTAAAGGAGGGTAAACAGTTCAACCTGTTCCTGTTCCAGCTTCAATTATGGATGATGCTAGAAGAAGTAGAAAAGAGGGAGGGAGAAGTCAGAAGCTTATATTATTTATCCGAGGGAATGCTATATCTGGGGCACCAATTATTAGAGGGACAAGTCAATTACCAAATCCTCCAATTATAATTGGTATTACTATAAAGAAAATTATTACGAATGCATGTGCGGTTACAATTACATTATAAATTTGATCGTCTCCGAGTAGGGTCCCAGGTTGGCCCAGTTCAGCACGGATTAGTAAGCTTAGGGCAGTTCCTACTATGCCTGCTCAAGCACCAAATAGTAAATACAAGGTGCCAATGTCTTTGTGATTAGTTGAAAATAATCAGCGGTTAATGAACATAGGGTAAAATGGCTGAGCAAAGCATTAAACTGTAAATCTAAAGATAGAGGTTTGTAATCCTCTTTTTACCAAGCCCTGTAGTGGTAATTACATAATGAATTGCAAATTCAAAGAAGCAGCTTCAATTTTGCCGGGGGTTTTTCCGCCTTTTTTTTTTCGCGGCGGGAGAAGTAGATTGAAGCCAGTTAGCTAGGGTGTTTAGCTGTTAACTAAAGTTTTGTGGGGGTGGAGCCCACCAATCTAGTGAGGATTTAGCTTAATTAAAGTAATTGATTTGCATTCAATTGATGTAAGATGTGATCTTGCAATCCTTATCAGGAGTTAAGTACGTTCTACTTGCTTAGGGCTTTGAAGGCTCTTGGTCTGGATTAACCTAAACTCCTATTCTAATACTGATAGGATTGGTGTGAGTGGCAGTAGTATAGTAGAAAGTACAAATATTGTAGGTAAAAGGGTCATTTGTTTTATAGTGGAAAATTGTCATTTTATTTTTATGTTATTTATAGAGGGAAATATTGTTAGTGCTGTAGAGTAGGTAAGTCGTATATAGAAATATAAATTTAGTAGGGCTGTAATTGCTATAAAGGTAGGTAAGATTAAGCTGTTGTTTTTTGTTATTTCTTGAATAATTATTCATTTTGGCATAAATCCTGATAGTGGAGGAAGTCCCCCTATTGATAAAAGGGTAACGAGGATTAGAACAGCTATAACGGGCATTTTATTTCATGTGTGAGAGAGTGATAGAGTAGTGGTAGTTGAATTAGCTATAAATAGTGTAAACATAGTAGAAGTTATGATAATGTAGATAATTAAATTTAATAGTGTTATTGTGGGGTTATATGGTAAAACTGCTGTTATTCAACCTATGTGGGCAATTGATGAATAGGCTATAATTTTTTGTAGTTGCGTTTGGTTTAGCCCTCCTCAGCCTCCAATTATAATTGATAGAATTGAAATTGTTAAGATTATGTTTAGGTTAATAGATGGAAAGATTTGGTAAAGCACGGATATGGGAGCTAGTTTTTGTCATGTTAGTAGAATTAGGCCTGATGATAAGGGAATGCCTTGTGTTACTTCTGGAACTCAAAAGTGAAATGGGGCTATTCCTAGTTTTATAGCAAGGGCTATTGTTATAAGTATAGATGCTATTGGATTAAATAGTTTTATTACGGTTCATTGGCCTGAGAATATTAGATTAATAATTACAGCTATTATTAGTAATATTGAGGCTGTTGATTGGGTTAGAAAATATTTGGTTGATGCTTCTGTGGCTCGTGGGTTGTGCTTTTTTATTATAATGGGGATAATGGCGAGTATATTAATTTCGAATCCAATTCAAATAAGTAGTCAGTGGGAGCTGATCATAACAATAATGGTTCCTAATATTATTGTTGATAGAATGATGATAAAGATGATTGGGTTTATTAGTACGGGAAGGATATAAACCAACATTTTCGGGGTATGGGCCCGATAGCTTAATTAGCTGACCTTACTATTAGAATTTGGTGTAATTGGGAGCACGAAGAGTTTTGGATTCTTAGGAGTAGGTTCAATTCCTATAGTTCTAGAAATAAGAGGGCTTAAACCTCTATTATTTACTCTATCAAAGTAACTCTTTTGTCAGACATATTTCTTATGTTTGTGGAGGGATGCTTGATAGAAAGATAGGTAGTGATACGTGTCATATGCATAGGGCTAGTGTTAGTGGTAGAAAATTTTTTCATAATAAATGTATTAGCTGGTCATAACGAAATCGAGGATATGATGCTCGGATTCATAGGAAAGAGATTGTCAATAGTAAGGATTTAATGGTAAAGTTGATTGTATAAAGTTCTGGCAGAATTGGGTTGTGGAATGCTCCTAGGAATAGAATTGTTGTAAAGATATTTATTATGATAATGTTTGCGTATTCTGCTATAAAAAATAGAGCAAATGGTCCTGCTGCATATTCTACGTTAAAGCCTGAAACTAGTTCTGATTCACCTTCAGTGAGATCAAATGGGGCTCGATTTGTTTCTGCTAACGTTGAGATAAATCATATTATTGCTAAGGGTCATGCTGGAAAAATTAGTCATACTTGTTCTTGTGTAATAATTAGAGTAGAAAGTGTGAAAGATCCATTTATTATAAGAACGGATAGTAAGATAATTGCTAGTGTTACTTCATATGAAATTGTTTGTGCTACTGCTCGGAGAGCTCCAATCAATGCGTATTTGGAATTGGAGGCTCAGCCTGATCAGAGAATGGAGTATACAGCTAGGCTTGATATTGCTAACATGAATAGTACTCCTAGGTTTATATTAATGAGAGGGTATGGTATGGGTAAGGGAATTCATATGGTCAGAGCTAGGCTTAGGGCTAGAATAGGAGCTAAAATAAATATTGAGATTGAGGATGTGGCAGGTCGTAATGGCTCTTTAATAAAAAGTTTAATGGCATCTGCAATAGGTTGGAGTAGACCATAGGGACCTACAACGTTTGGGCCTTTTCGAAATTGCATATATCCTAGGACTTTTCGTTCTACTAATGTAAGAAATGCTACGGCTAGAAGGATAGGAATAATTAGTATTAAGATATTAATTATAAACATTTTGTTAAGGAGAGGATTTGAATCTCTGATTATAAAGGTTTAAGTTTTACGCAATTACCGGGCTCTGCCACCTTAACAAAGCCCTTTTCTAGGGCGGGATATGTTTGTGTATCTAATTAAGATGAAATCATTAGTTAATTTAAGGCGCTTGATTGAAGTTGGCCTTATTTCTCTGGTCCTTTCGTACTGGGAGAAATACACAATAGATAGAAACCGACCTGGATTACTCCGGTCTGAACTCAGATCACGTAGGACTTTAATCGTTGAACAAACGAACCTTTGATAGCGGTTGCACCATCGGGATGTCCTGATCCAACATCGAGGTCGTAAACCCTATTGTCGATATGGACTCTTGAATAGGATTGCGCTGTTATCCCTAGGGTAACTTGTTCCGTTGATCAATTTTTTGGATCAATAAGCGATTGTGTGATTTGACTTGTAGGTCTAGTCTTTAAAATCGCTCGGAGGATTTTCTGTTCTCCGAGGTCACCCCAACCAAAGCTGTTAGCCCATAAAGAGTATTGTTGTTTCCTTAGTTATTAAATTTATTTCTTTGGGCTAAGTAGTTAAAGCTCCATAGGGTCTTCTCGTCTTGTTGATATATTCCCGCCTCTTCACGGGAAGGTCAATTTCACTGATTGGAAGTAAGAGACAGTAAAACCCTCGTTTGGCCATTCATACAAGTCCTTATTTAGAGAACAAATGATTATGCTACCTTTGCACGGTCAGGATACCGCGGCCGTTTAACGATTGTCACTGGGCAGGCAGTGCCTCCAATACTAGTTATGCTGGAGGTGATGTTTTTGGTAAACAGGCGGGGTTTAATGTTTGCCGAGTTCCTTTTACTTCTTTTAATCTTTCCTTAAGTGCACTCCTGTGTTGGATTAACAGTATATTTAATAAGTTATTTATGGTTGGGTTATTCTTATTTTGCTGTTAACAGTCAGAATATTATCAGATACTGACTTAAACTCGTGCAAGGAGAAGAGACTTCTTGTTACTCATATTAACATTATTGCTTCTATTTTTATAGATTAGTCCAGTATTAAGGCTAGGAGTTGATTGTTTGTTATTGGAATTAATATAAGTTTATTGTTGAGCTTTAACGCTTTCTTAATTGGTGGCTGCTTTTGGGCCTACTATGGTATTATCAAATTTTACTCTCTAGTCAAGGTTGTATCCGTTTCTAAAAGGCTGTACCCTTTTAGACTAACTTTTAAAAATACAGTGCATTTATTTATATTTTTGGTATTTTTAAAGCTGAACTTATATTCATTTCCTGGACAACCAGCTATCACCAGGCTCGTTAGGCGTTTCACCTCTACTTACAAATCTTCTCACTATTTTGCCACATAGATGAGTTGGTTCTCGATAAATTGTTCATAAGTAGCTCGTCTGGTTTCGGGGTACTTAGCTGAAATTCATTTTGTTAAGTTTTTACTAGTTAACTCATTATGCAAAAGGTACAAGAGGTAATCTTTGCTTTTTTATACTTTTAATTTTTTTCTTTCATCATTCCCTTACGGTACTTTCTCTATAGCGCCATGTTTAAAATTTCTATCTCCTATACTTTTAATTAATAATGAATGTTTTATTTATATAATTTTGATAATTTAGTGTGAATGGGTTTATGGGTCTAGAATTAGTTCAAGATATTCATAATACGTGAAATCTTCTAGGTGTAAACTAGGTGCTTTATTTAAGCTATATCTTGATTATCCAAGCACACTTTCCAGTATGCTTACCTTGTTACGACTTATCTCCTCTCATATATATTAATACATAGTAATAAGTTTAAGTGTATTGTGCTTACTTGAGGAGGGTGACGGGCGGTGTGTGCGTGCTTCATGGCCTAATTCAACTAAGCACTCTATTCTTAGTTTACTGCTAAATCCTCCTTTGGTTACTAATTTCATAATAACTTTCGTAGGGGGTTTTCTTAAGTTAGAAAATGTAGCCCATTTCTTTCCACTCCATAGGTTACACCTTGACCTAACGTTTTTACGTATGATGATTGTGCTTACTTTTGTTCCTTTTTAGGGTTTGCTGAAGATGGCGGTATATAGACTGTATTAGCAAGGGGTGGTGAGGTTTATCGGGGTTTATCGATTATAGAACAGGCTCCTCTAGAAGGGTATAAAGCACCGCCAAGTCCTTTGAGTTTTAAGCTATTGCCGGTAGTACTCTGGCGAATAGTTTTGTTTATATAACTACTTGTGTTTAGGGCTAAGCATAGTGGGGTATCTAATCCCAGTTTGGATCTTAGCTATCGTGTTTCAGCGGTTGTAAAGTTACTTTCGTTATTTATTTTCATTGTGATTATGGCTTTTTACAGCTTAATTAAAATTTAACTTTATTTGGTGTAGTGTTTAAACACGCTTTACGCCGTAGGCCTATTAACTTGGGTTAATCGTATGACCGCGGTGGCTGGCACGAAATTTACCAACCCTGATTAACATGGCTTAGTCAAACTTTCGTTTATAGCTTAATTTTTATCACTGCTGTCTCCCGTGGGGGTGTGGCTAAGCAAGGTGTCATGAGCTACAGGTGTGTGCTTGATACCAGCTCCTCTTGGTCCTATTGACCTGGAGGGCATTTTCACTGGGATGTAGATGCTTGCATGTGTAAGTCTGTTAAGGGTTAATAGGAAGGCTGGGACCAAACCTGTGTGTTTATGGAGTAAATATACTCATTTAGGCATTTTCAGTGCCTTGCTTTGTTGTTTAAGCTACATTAAC